TATATATATATATATATATATATATATATATATATATATATATATATAGGGATGTAACGGTATTGTAAATACCGTCATACCGCAATAGTAATTTTTTTCGATATTACCGAAGTCGCATGACTCTGTAAAACTATAGGTCTTTTGAGAAAATTTGCTCAGGCGAATGAAGCGAACGGGAGGTAGCGAAAACTACATTTCCCATCAGCCCATGCTTGACCATCATCCCTTGCGGTCTGTTGTTGCTACAGATCCAGTAATGCGGAAATGGAGTGTGCTGCTAGAAGCGGGGATGAAAAAGAGCTGGAAAACTCTAAAGCGGGTGTTGTCGCCGCGCGCGTACTGAATAGCGGTGTTGTCGCGCGAGTTCTTATCAGCTGTGTTGTCGCGCGAGTTCTTATCAGCTGTGTTGTCGCGCGAGTTCTTATCAGCTGTGTTGTCGCGCGCGTACTGAATAGCGGTGTTGGCAGCACACTGTTCAGATTGATGCAGACATGAGATCTCTATCTTACCCATGGTTTGTCCTCTCAAGTGGGGGAAAGACAATGCACAACGTTACCCACTGCTGTCAACCTGGGCCAAGTCATATCTCTCTTGTCCCAGAAACCTCAGTCCCAAATGAGAGGGGTTTTTTCTGTTGCAGGGGACATTGTAAATGCCCAGAGATACCAGCTTTTACCAGATTATATTTATATGATAATTTTCCTTTAAACCCATCTCTATCTAAGTGAGTGAGTGATTAAATGTTGAATGTGATGAGTTTTCAACAATACTAAATTGAAACTTTATTTTTTTACATGGTTTAATATTTTTTTAATATTAAAATTGAAGTTCCTGTTTCAAAGCTTACAGATAGATGGCTAATTTTTATGTCATTGACACTTTTGGCACTTTTTTGGAGTATTTTCATAAGTTTTGTTTTTTCCTGTAAATGATTCAATAAATACCGTACCGTGACATTCATACCGAGGTATTACCGTACCGTGAAATTCTGATACCGTTACATCCCTAATATATATATATATATATATATATTATATTATATTATAAGGTATTTTCCTATAAATGGTTACTTGAGAGTCAAAGCCTTTATTAAAACAGGGGTTTCCCTCCCTGTTATTATCATCATTATAATTATCATTCTTATATTGTTATTTGTTGAAAGAGTAGTTTGCAGGGTGATATTACAATAGAAGAAAAAATGTTTGGGAGACAAATGCAGGTTTTTTAATTTCTTTTTTTTTTTTTTTTATCTGACTTTATTTTTTAAAGTTTTAATTGTTAAAACCAGTGGTTGTCAAACTTTTAAAGGGCCATGAAACCCCCCTGTTTCAGCAGGGTGTTTTCACACCTCTACTTTGGAAAAAGTCAGGAAAGTGGGCGTGTCCAGCTCTGTTTAAAAGGGGAGTGTCATTGGAGGGAAAGAGGGAAGGTCTGTAAAAATTTGCATAAAAATGGGAGTGTCGGTTTGGGCATGCGCTGATTTTCACAGAGGCAAAACAAACACACAGACACAGGAGAGAAGGACAGAGACTGTGTTTACATGGACATCAGTAATCAAATTATTTGCCAAATTATTAAATGGTGGACTTTAAAGGGCACCTATGGTGAAAAATCTACTTTTCTGAACCGCCAACTTATCCAGCAAATGTTATACGCAGTAGATGCCCTTCCAGCCGCAACCCATCTCTGGGAATCATCCACACACACATTCACACACACAATCATAACACTACGGACAATTTAGCCTACCCAATTCACCTGTACCGCATGTCTTTGGACTTTGGGGGAAACGCAAGGAGAACATGCAAACACCACACAGAAACGCCAACTGAGCCAAGAACAGCACTACCTACTGCGCCACTGCGTCGCCGACCCTTGATTATATGTGTGTTATTAGAATGAAAAAAAAATGTAATTGACTATTTATTTAATACATTATAAATAAGATCAATCAATAACCTCCCCCCCCACTCAAATTAATCATTCATCCATTCTTTCATTCGTTTTTTTATTGAAGTAGCTTGCACTGCCTCACATTTCTTAGGGTTGATGTCTTGTTTATAACAAAATGCATGTCGATTTGCTGCAATGTGAACAGTTGACTTCAATGACGTTGTTTGCATTTCATTGCTTATGTAAACTCTATTTGTTGGTAATTTAATTGAGCTAAATCTCCATTTGTGTTCAGAGCTAGAGAGATTATTAGTTTGCTTTGACTTCATTGAACATAAATTAGATTTGTTCTTTAGCTGAACTGTCCCTTCAGTCGCTATATAATACATTTAGACTAGTAAATTGCTACCTGTAAGTAATGGAAACATACAGTCTTGTTTATGAAAGGAGATTTCTTATTCGTGACTACCGGTCTGCTTGTGTTCCAGCGGCGATCATTAAATTTCTCTCCAGCAGAACAACTCATGACAGGCTAATAGACGGCAATTTCCCAGTGTCTGATTTGAATTTTTGAAGCGTCTCTATACTCTCAGTATTGTGCTGGTGATGGTTCTGCTGGTTATTGTTGTCTCGGCTTTATTTCACCCATGAATCCATCTGGATATGCAGGTTTTAGCTTTTAGAAGACAATGAATTGTTTTGAAATGATCACTCTGAGTGACTTCACTGTTGCCCATATACTTATTGCTTAAACGTTGTTCTTTGCATTTTTTGTGCATCATATATGGTTGAAGTCAGAATTATTTGCCCCCCCCCCTGTTTATTTTTTTCTCCAATTTCACTTTAATGAAGAGAAGATTTTTCAACACATTTCTAAACATAATAGTTTTAATAACACATTTCTAATTACTGATTTTTTTATTTTTTCTTTGCCATGATGACAGTAAATAATATTTTACTAGATATTCTTCAAGACGCGTCTATACAGCTTAAAGTTACATTAACCAGGTTAACAAGGCAGGTTAGAGTAATTAGGCAAGTTAGTCTATAATGATGGTTTGTTCTGTAGACTATAAAAAAAGTATATAGCTTAAAGAGGCTAATAATATTGACCTTAAAATGATTATTAAAAATTTTAAAACTGCTTTTATTCTAGCCGAAGACTTTCTCCAGAAGAAAAAATATTAGCTGACATACTGTGAAAATTTTCTTGCTCTGTTAAACATAATTTGGGAAATGTTTAAAAAAGAAAAGAATCACATACTTTGTGCATTTGTTTAAACCATTATATCCATTACAATAAGAGTTTGCTCACTCAGTGTGTTTAGGAATAGAAAGACAATTCATTTAAACTCATGCAAATAATAAAAAAAACCTACTAAATGTAATATTTTGTGTCATGTTTCTCTTTTTTTTTCCTGTTCATAAACTTTTTATTTTTATTTTTTCCTCATCATATTAATTTGGGTGTTGTCATTTCTGGGCTGTTATAGTTAGTTTTTTGTTAGATTAGCTCCAGATTTGGCTTCCATACTGTCTAATCTAATGTATTTGCACAAACATAATATTGTAGAGCATTCTATAGAATATATTCATTTAGAACAGAGATCTGTGAGGGGTTTACTTATTTGCATGTACACATTATACAATCTACTTTTTTTTCAGAAAATATATATTTCAGTAGGATTGTTTTTATTAAAATCTTTTAAAAATTAAAAGAATGAAACATTTATTGAGACAGTTTTTGTGCTTGGAGAAAGGTGGCCCTTTAGTCCATATTTACTGATTTTAGGAACTGAATTTAATCCAATGTTTTTCTTTTTTTCCCCTCAGTTGTGGAATAACTACTTTCATCTTGCTGTGGCGTTCCTTACCCAGGAGTCTTTGCAGCTGGAGAACTTTTCGAGTGACAAACGGGCCAAGATCTTCCACAAGTAAGCATTAATAGACACTTTCCCACAATAATAATAATAATAATAATAATAATAACACACATGGCTCAGTCTTTAGCACTTGGGCCTCACAGCAAAAAGGTTGCTGGTTCTAGTCTCGGCTAGGTCAGTTGGGATTTCTGTTTGGAGTTTGCATGTTCTCCTCGTGTTGGCGTGGGTTTCCTCTGGGTGCTCCGGTTTCCCCCACAGGCCAAACACATGCGCTATAGGTGAACTGAATAAACTAAATTGTCCGTAGTGTATGAGTGTGAATTTGAGTGTATGGGTGTTTCCTTGTACTGGGTTGTGGCTGAAAGGGCATCCGCTGCATAAAACATATGCAGGAATAATTAACAGTTCATTCCACTGCGGCAACACATGATAAATAAGGGACTAAGCCGAAGGAAAATTAATGAACAATAATAATAATAATAACACATTTTATTTTTATGTTACTTGACCTCACCCTGACCTCTTAAGAGCTGCATTTTGCTTGGCTTTTCTTCCGGAAACGAACACATTACAATATTCCAAAGTGAATTTTTGTTTTCATTGATTTACTTTGCCCTGTAAACAGAAATATCCGTTCATTTACAGCATCCGTATCTTGATCTTCGTAGCCATTTTCTGTTCATCTACTGCAGGGGTCACCAGTCCTGATCCTGGAGGGCCGGTGTCCCTGCAGGGTTAAGCTCCAACCTTGCCTCAACACACCTGTCTGGATGTTTCAAGTATACCAAGTAAGACCTTGATTAGCTTGTTCAGGTGTGTTTAATTAGGGTTGGAGCTAAAATCTGTAGGACACCGGACCTCCAGGAACAAGTTTGGTGACCCCTGATCTACTGTGAAATACCCTGACTTTTCATAATTATGTGGGCATTTCTTTCCAACATTGTTATTTTATTAAAATGGCAAAACATAACTTTCTAATAGCAAATGCATAACATGAACATGTCTTTGATAACCACATATTCAGTGTCGTGAAAAATCGTTGCTCTCCATGTGAAAGTGAAAATGAAAGTAAGGTGCAGATCTTCGTGGGCGGTCTAGTACCACATTTAAGGACTGTATTACAAAAAAAAGTCAGATTTTTAAATGAAAGTAAAAATCTATCATTAATATATTAATAGAAGTCATTAATATCGTCATTAAATTTGACAAAAGACATTCAAAGTTTAATTTTAGCAATCTCAATAGAAGATTTAAATGTAAAAAAAAAAATGACGTGATAATATGATGTCGATGCCTCATTCACACTAGCAGCAACTTTGTAGCTGCTTATCGCTCTGGGTGGCAATCTGCTGCAAGCGCAGGCATGTGTAGGTCAACAACACAGAGAATACCTCTGAGCGAGCTGAGAGAGAATCAAGTGAGCTCTACTAATGCTTCTATTGGCTGTCGCTCAAGAAAGTGGCTCTTCATTTGCATAAAGTTGAAAGATTTTCAACTTTGGCGCATTACTTAACACGCCCACCTTGATGGAGTTCCTAGAGAAACTGAATATTAAATGAGAAACAGTGGGCGTGGCTTGTTTTTTTTTTTTTTGACTGTGAGCTGATTGGATGTAGTAAAGTAGGCATTTCCTTCATAAAGATGGGGAGAAGGGTTTGAGGAGAAACAGACTCCTGGGGTCCGTTCTTCGTACCTCACTTAAATGATCTAAGATGATTTGGCAGATCCTGGATCTTTTCATCTCGATAACTGATCTCTCGCTAATTTGGTTCTTCAAAGAAGTTTGCGAATCAGATTAGAATGTCTGGATGAACTGATCTGAGATCGCTGCGTGTGTTGTGAAGGACAGATCTATCGATCCTCCAAATCATGATCAGCAATGCAACGATTGGCTGACAGCACAGCAGCGTAATGACATCATCTGATTAATATTCAATTATCCATGTGAGCAAAATTACATCAAATTAGCAGTAAACGGCTTGTGTAATATGACACGCAATAACCTTCTACATTTGTTGTGAGCTGCAGGGTTTACACTTTCATGTGTCAAGAGTATTCATCATGTATTTCAATGCAAATCAATGTATTTAGTTCTGCATTTAGAAAATATTTTCTTTATTATAGAAACTGTTTTTTTAATCGGGTTAAAGAATAACTGGATGTTTACAAAAGCATTTTGATATTGGTAAAGGCGTCTGCAACTTTTGTGAAGCATCAAATCCCCGTCATATTAACTGTCAAAACCTGTTTATGACTGCTGAAATGTAATATGGCTTTTTTTTTTAAGTCACATATTGTGCATTTCTATTATCATACACAAATTGTACTAAAGCGATCTAAAAAGTTCATATCAATAAGTTTTCTCTTTGCACTACCAGGTGGCAGTCTTTGTACTTTCATTTCGAGGGTGCAGATTGCATAAGTTTATTAATGTGTATAACTTTATTTATGTTATTAATGACTATAACTTTATATATATATATATATATATATATATATATATATATATATATATATAGTTTAAAAATATTTACCATTTTCCCAAGTGTATATAAGTACTACAGTAAGAAAATATCAGAATTCGGAACATACTTTTGTATTATCTTTGCTTGAACTGAGTCGATCTAATCCTGTTTATATGAATTGAACCTGCTCCCGATCAGGTTTGACCTAGCAGAATTGTTGCTATGACAACATCTCTCAGATCAGCTTTGAAAAACGAAACGATCCTGGATCGTGTCAAATCGTCAATAACCAAATCCAGCTAATCCACGTACGAAGAACGGACCCCTTCTCACCATTTCTGTTTGTTGTCAAAACTGACAGCTAGAGGGGAGTGGCTAAGTATGTTAGCCTCGCCCAATAACTCAGACACACCTAGGCTGCGTCCGAAACCGCCTACTACTCAGTAGGTACTGCATTTGAATTTAAACGTACTACTCGGCCGTTAGAAAAGTACGTTTTATACAGTATGAATGTGAAAGTATGAATGGAATTCGGAAGTACTACATCCGCCATTTTGTCATGGTCACGCGACCTACCTGCGTAATTTGCGTCGCTTCACTCCCATTCATAAATTCGCTCGCGGGGCATCATGGGATAGCGCAGCATGCATGAGATGCGCACTCCGGAATCTCGCCGGAAGTAGTGGGCCATCCAGGTACTTCTCGCATACTGATTTTCGAATTCTATGTATTCGGACATACTACTCGGCTCGCATACTGATTTTGGCGTACTATATAGTATGGAAGTATGCGGTTTCGGACGCAGCCCTAATCTGAGAATTTAACTGAACACAAACAGGAAGTGCATTTTCAGATTTCAACTAAAGATTAGAAGGGCAAACATTTGTTGTTTTCTTAATGACATGCACAGATTAATTGTTCAGCACAAAACTAGCAATGTGAGCTAACGCAATCAATATGGTTAGTTTTGATTGCATGTGTACTTTAAGGAGATAATAAACATGAGAAATGTTGACAATACAATACTGAATACTGCAGTATCGGCTTGAAGTGGGAGGAATTTGAGGAATAGTAAAAGCAAACCAAAAAAAGGGAAGTTGTGCAGGACATTTTCTTGAAAACAAACTTCCCTTCACTGTTTCTGCATCACTGTTTAAAGACGAGGAGAGACAGATGAAGGAGCTTCTCTCATTCTCTCTCTCTCCGTGTGTATGTGTTTGCCTGTGGCGTGAGTGAGCTCTGTCTGCTAGAGACGGATCAGTGTCTGTCAGGACTCTGGAATCACAGTCTTGTCGGGAACACGAGGACGTGTTTCTGACCCATTTTCTCAGGACATGCAGTGCTGGTGTCACAAACAGCAGCTCTTACTCTGGGGGTTTTGGGCTGAATGGCACAGATTTTGTGAATTCACCAGAAATCAATCTTGGCATCTGGTTTGTTTTTATTTTGTGGAGGAATCAGATGTATGAATTAGAAAAACAAGTAAAGTATCGTTCAGATAATGGAACTGATCTTAGTGTTGTTGATATTTTTGACTTATTGAAGTTTTGGATATCTCACAAACCTAAATGAGCATCACTTGACATTCAATTATTTCATTTAATTTATTAATTCGTGGATTTCTGGTACATTATCAGTAACATTATTACCAGTGTCAACTACAAATTGTGCTGTAATGTTATTTATTTATTAATTTTTGTATTTATTTAAGAGCATTAATACAGTTTTGCCCATAACAAGCAGTTTTTTTTAATCGTTTATAAGCTAATTTATTTAGTTAATTATTATATATTAATTTAACGGTAATGTGAAAGCCATCAGTATTGACATTTATACTGTTTCCTTATTTTAATGATAAAGCGTTGACACTTATTTTATTTGATATTTTATCAATTTTCATTTATTGAATTTATTTATGGGCAACGTGGGGTCTCAGTGGTTAGCACTGTTGCCTCATGGCAAGAAGGTCACTTCTTCGAGTCCTGGCTGGGCCAGTTAGCATTTCTGTGTGGAGTTTGCATGTTCTCCCCGCGCTGGCGTGGGTTTCCTCTGGGTGCTTAGGTTTCCAAACACTTGGCTAATTGGATGAACTAAATTGGCAGTCGTGTATGTGTGAATGAGTTTGTATGGATGTTTCCTAGTGATGGGTTGCAGCTGGAAGGGCATCCGCTGTGTAAAACAATTGCTGGATAAGTTGGCGGTTCATTCCGCTGTGGTGACCCCTCATGAATAAAGGGACTAAGCCGAAGGAAAATGAATGAATTAATAAACTTATCAATTGAAAAAGTTATGTCCTTAAGTTTTGTTTATTCATTTTAATTTACTTATTTTTAGTCACTATAATCATAAATTAGGTAGCTATTAACTGTAGATATTTGTTGCATTTTATCTGAAAAAATATAGCTCAAAATTGTATCTATATAATAATAATTATGCCTGTATTATTATAAATAAAAGTAATTTATCACAATAAAATGTGAAAATAAATATATTTTTTTATTTGTTTATTGCACAATTCAATTGAAAATCTGTTATTTTAACTAATAATTATTTTTATTAACTTTTTTACTTTTATTAATTTTTTAA